TTTGCTTTGATATCAAGCGGGATTCCTGTGTTGTGTACACGCCCGGACGGACGGACGTCAGCCAAACCATGAAAAATCAACTCGATGGTTTACCATTTTTTCTTAAGTATGGGGCTCCGCTAATACATCTATACTTTTTTCATTATCTGTATATAAAGGTTCAAACCACAGGTCGAGGGCTTTCATGAAAATTCAAGACCGAGGGCCGTAGGCCCAAGCCCGTGGGTTTGAACCGGTTTATTAACCAGACACGCTCCAATTCTATTGTCTTTATGCAAGATATTTTGAAGTTTTCTATTGTTTTGAATGTAAGCATTAGTTTTTGAAAAGGCCCATGGAATCCGGAGAAGCGTTATCAAAATAGTACCAATTCTATTGTTTTATGCAATATATTTTGAAGTTTTCTATTGTTTTGAATGTAAACATTAGTTTTTGAAAAGGCTCATGGAATCCGGAGAAGCTTTATGAAAATAGTACCAATTTAACTATAGTAAACAGTGGTTTTAATTGCATAAAAATTTTAGAGTGAACGCATTTAATCCGTGAAATTGTACTAATTTGTTTGTACTAGAGTCGTTTTCATTTCACCGTGAAACGAAAATGACTAATTAGTTTGTATTAGTTGATGCTGAACAAACCACTGTATTGAGTGTCCTTTGTTAAACTGCTATACGCGATGAAAATGAACTGCCCAGTTTGTTGTAACTGGTCTTCGGATAACTATGAGTAGTGACAATGAGGACAACGACATTTTTATCACTCCCTCATGCGGTTCTTATTATCCAAGACCTGCCAGATTTTGGTAAGGATATTGGTGAATTGCTAGAACAAGTACCAACAAATAGCAGAGATAGCTCGGTTCCTCAGTGTGAGTGGCGTTGGAGAGAAATGTGCGAGTTTCGAAGTCAAAGGAAGGGAGCAAAGATACGATATCATCTATACATAAGCTTAGAAGTGATGTCAAACCAAATGCTAGATAAGAATTTGTCGCTCTTCATTATTGAAGCACGAAGGAAAGACGGGGAAAAATGTCCACCAAGTACTCTACATGGAGTCATAGCCGCCATTCGACACCATTTGAAAATGAGAGGGCGCGACACAAAGTTATTCAATGACTCCGAGTTTTCACAATTGCGATCGTGTCTAGATGCTTCCATGAAAGAAGCAGCCAGTGAAGGCTTAGGACGTTCCAAAAAACAGGCCGAAATGATCACCTTAAATGAAGAGGGGCAACTATGGAATCAAGATTTGCTCGGCGATAAACATCCCCAGCAGCTACTTAATACTATCGTGTACCTATTAGGCCTTCATTTTGCTTTACGTGGGATCCAAGAGCACCGGAGATTAAGAAGGATCAATTCCCAAATGAGTGTTTGCAAAGACGAAAAGAGGGGCTTGAAGTTTTTAGAATACTGTGAAGATGTGTCAAAAACCAATGCTGGACGTTTAAGAGATCGCAAAGTAAAGCCAAAATCAACTCGAGCTTATGAACAGAAGGTGAATAAAGAGAGATGTGATATTTCTTTTAACAATACTTATTTATACATTTCTTTTACAGCCCTATCCACAAGCCTGGAGAGCAGGATGCATTATATTTGACTCCGCTCAAGCGTCCCAAGCCAAACTGTTGGTATAGCTCGGTTCCTGTGGGCCATAATAAGTTGTGTGCTACCGTGAAAACAATTTGCGAAGCTTGTGGATTAAAGGGATACAGAACAAATCATTCTCTCCGTGCAGCGGCAGCGACACGTTTGTATGACGAGGGAATAGATGAACAGCTTATCTGCGAGAAAACAGGCATGTAATGAGATTGCTGTAAACTTTTCTTGATTTTAATAGCTCTGTTTTTAATTTAAAATCAATTTTGTTAGGTCATCGGAGGAATGCAGTTCGAAGCTATAAGCGTACCTCTACATACCAACAGATAATGGTTTTTGATGTTATACATGGCTGTGATGTGAAAAAGGCTAAGCTTGAAGACCAACAAGTGGACGTATACCACCCGGTAAAACAAGACGTCACTGAAGGTTTAGAGGATTTCAACAAAAAAAGTTAATATCAATCTTAATTTCTTTTTGTAGTAAGTCTTGGAGATAGTAATTAAGTTGAAAATGAATGTTTGATAAATTCTGGATCGCAAGCTTTATTTCCTTTTATCATTATTATTTTGAATTCAAAATTCACTAGGCTTTCAATCTGTTCTCGCTCGTTAATTTTTTCCCGGTTTCTTGAGCTTCATGTGTATGTTGTGTTTAAAGTGTTTGGTTTACGAGCGCTCTCAGAGAAAACACAGCGCGTTTTCTTCTCTCCTTCGTGCAATGTTTCTCGGAGAGCGCTTTGAAACAATTTTATACAATTTTATACATAACACAGGAACCCCAAGAAACGGAAAAAATTATAGAGCGAGACTGGATGCAAGTCTAGTGAGCTCTTGAAATGACATTGAATTATAAACCCGGGATAGGTCTTGAATTTTTAATTCAAGACCTATCCCGGGTTTTGAATTCAGCCCCAAACTCCACTGTTGATAATCAAAGCCGCCCCCGGTTTTAGAATGCAGGTATTCCTACCTTTCAAAACCTACATAAAAAACAATAGAATTGGCGCGTATCTGGTTAATAAGATCAGATACTACTATATATGATTTGTTCTTTATTATCATTTATTACTATGGCCTACTATATCTCAATTAATCTTAGCAGCTACTCAGCTCGATTAGCCTAGCTATTCTAAGTAGCTATTACCAATACCTGTTTTAATATTATCGTAAAAAATTAGTTTTGAAAATTATGGTAATAAAGCTAAATCAATCAATCAATCAATGAACCAAAGCAAGTATGGCTGAAAATACTCATTTCCTTATTATTTTCATGTATGAACATTTTGAAAGTGAAAACTTTCATTCGATGACCACAAACTATGCGGATGAATGTTTCCGCACAGGTACAGCTAAGTTAATAGATGATAAATAAGAAAGCATGAAAAAAGGCAATTTTCTTTTAAATGAACAATTTGTATTTATCATATAGGATTAATTAACAAATAATAAGTATTTTAGAACATTTTTAAGGGTTAAAAATCTTCTATATTCCCGAATACTATGAACAAACGGAGCAACTTTTCCTTTTCTGAGCACCGTCAACGTCATATAACAATGGATAAAGTCGAACACAAACATAGGGTTTCCCAACCATTCCGCTCCATTAACTATGATCTTCATCATGTTATTAGTCTTAATAACAAAATCAAAACTCAAGTAAACGTATATGTACCTGGTATTTATTTGAAGTAGCTTTCACAGCCAAAATATCTTTAAAATAAATCATCAAGTGATCAGAATCGGGTCAGCTTGAAAAATAATTAAAAAGTCGAAGCCATTGATCAGGCGCGTAGTTCTTTAACCCGACTAGTTTATCTCTTAGAACTGATATTCGATTACAGAAAATACTGCTTTGAATAACTGTATCAAAGCAAGAATAGTTAACCAAAATAATCTAATGCCCATGAAGTTTGAAGATTCTTAGAAGTCCACGCTTAGAAGTCATTAACATCTTGCTTACATATCCTTGTTTACGATTACGATGGTTAATTAATATTTCTAGTTCGGCTGTCTTTAAGCAGCAGTAAGGGGGACTCGCGACTGCTGTTCGGAATACGCCGGGGATTACCTGCCCCCACGTAACGGCGCCGGCCGCGGGAATTATTTGAGCCAACTCTACGGACTTTTAGGCGAATATCCGATTTGACCACTTTACCCGTACCAAACCCGTAGGCAGTAAGGGGGACTCGCGGTCAATGTCAAAGATTTACGGGTTTTACAGGCGGTTTAAGGAAGGCGCCGGCAGCGGGAAATACCCG